GCGGGGCGACGAGGCGAGTGAACACGCGGAGGGAATAGGGTGAGCACCGAAGGGCGAAGAAGGCCAGGTATCCTTTTCAAGTGCCGATCTCAGGTCGGTCACATATCGAATTGGAACTCAGGGGCACTGAGGATACCCCCGCTCAGCCTCGCAGCATGCGTCTGCTCGGGCACGGGGGCAGGGCCCGCGAGCTCTAAATGCGGGGACTTCGTGGTGAGCCTCCGCTTGGAAGGAGGCGTCGTTGGGGCTGGGCAAACCTCTGGGGCCTCCTCGCCTCCGTTCCCCCCGTGATCAGCAGCAGCTCCAGCGGCAGGAAGATGAGCAGCAGGAGATCCGTGATCGGCAGCCGCTGGACGTTTCATGTGCGTGCTGGGATCAGCAGCGTCATCATCATGTGCGGGGCCAGCTGGAGGTCTGTGATCGGCAGCCGCTGGGCGTTTCATGCATGCGCTGGGGCCAGCGTCGTCTGCATCGTCTTGGGCGGGATCATCGTCAGCTGCATCATCTTGGGCGGGATCATCAGCAGCAGCAGCTGCAGGGCGTTTCATCGCTCCTGGAGGGGGCGCGGGCAGTCCAAGGAGGGGGATGGACGCGGGCAAGTTGGGCCCTGAGGCCCTAACGTGCTTAGCACTCCCAGTGCGGAGTCGGCGGATCGAACAACAAACGACTCGAGCGTGGCTCGGCGGCGGTGGCGCTATCAGAAGTCTCTCGGCCGAACCGCCTGGCCATCGAACCTCGTGCCTTCTATCTCTCTCTCATGCACTCTCTCTCTCTCTCTCTCTCGCTTCCTCTCTCTCTCTCTCTCTCTCTCCCTCTCTCTTTCCGTCGCTCTCTCTCTCTCTCTCTCTCTCTCTCTCTCGTTGCCTCTCTCTCTCTCTCGTTCTCTATCTCTGTCTACTCAATCCGCCCCTCCTCCTCCTGCCTATCCTGCCCACCTCTCCCCATCAGCACCCCTATCCCTAATCTACGCACCTCTTTCCTCCCTCCACCCCTTATTCCCGCCCGATCCGTTCCTGCTGGAGCCCCTGGTATCACTGCACCAGGCCGCCTGAGGACCGTATCGAAGGTGGCCTCCTGGTGATTCTTCTCCGCCTTGGCCCCGTCATGAGTGATCGTTCCGTCGAGGATGCGTTGGGCGACGTCCTTGCACCAGGCCATGGACGCCACCTCCCCCTCTGCCCATGTGTCGGCGAAGTACTGGCAGGGATCTGAGCGCAACACATATCCTCCTCATGTTGTCCCTCGTTCTCCTCCTCTTCTCCCTCCTACTTCCCTTTCTCACCCAGCCTCCCTCCTCTTCCCCCATCCCCCTTCTCTCTTAAGAGTCCTACTATTTCCTTATATCGAACATATCATCATCGTTTTCGATAGGGGTCGGTTTTCGTTGACCCCCGAGCTCCAGCACGTCAATCTGGAAGATCTGCAGGCCATTCTTCTTGACGGAGCACAGGCGGATCTTCCTCTTGAACTTCGGTGCCTCCCACCTGGGCTCGACGTTGCGCCCTCCTCTTCCACCTCCTCCCCCTCCTCCTCCTCCTCCTCCTCTTCATCATCCGTCCCCTCCTCCTCCTCTTCATCCTTCTCCTCCTCCTCCTCCTCCTCCCCCTCCTCCTCGGTTGCCCGTTTCGACTCGGGTCGGTCGGTTGTTGCCATGCTGCGTTTTTCTGGGCTCTGGGTCGGGCGATTGATTGTTTCGCCCAAGTGCCTGAAAGAAACGGAGATCACGTTATCGTCGGCATCGGTGGCGGACCACTTCATCCAATCGGGGAGTTTAGCTTTCGCTTTGGCTTTGCCTTTTGCTGCATGTTTAGCTGTGGGCTCTGGCGCTGCTCGCTCCTCGGGGGCCGCCGCGGCTGCGGCCTCCTGCTGGCCCTTGGCCTTCTGCCACGCCATGATGATCGCCTGGGGGCAGCGCGAGCGCAATGGGATGCAGAAGGATAGACGACGAGGCGACCAGGGCCATTCAGGAATTGAGGAAGACAATGATGGGATGAAGGAGAGGGTAAGGGAGGGTGGGAGGGAGGGGGGGCGCCCCCCGCACATTTTAAGGGGACTGGTCTCCCCAAATTACCCCGCTGTTCGAGGGGGGCCAGTCGCCCAATGTTCAATGGGATTGGCCCCCTAAAACGGCGGGGCATTTCGGGGGGACCAGTCTCCATCAAATGCACCGCTGTTTTGACGACCCTGGGCCCCAAATTAAAAGGATGCGTCGCCTGCGGGACCTCCTTCCTCGTCGAATCCGACCACCACACTGCTTCCATGCAATCGGTCGGCTTGCTACCCTTCGGGATCACCATCTCATCGCAATATTCAGGGTCGGTCTGTCTGTCGGCGATCTCGATTCGGTACGCCCTCAAGGACTCTTTGTCGTAACTGTACGTGTACATGAGGGCCGAGGTGCCTGGCGGCGGGGCGGGGGACCCCTGTTCTCTTCTTCTCGTCGCAGTCCTCTCCTTGCCTTTTTATCGTCCTCCTAGTCCTCGCCTTGCTGCCGCTAACTCCTCCTGTCCTGGCCAACTCCTCCCCCTGTCCCGGCCAACTCCTCCTCCTCCTCCTCCTCCTCCTCCTCCTCCTCCTCCTCCTCCTCCTCCTCTTCCTCCTCGCCATCCTCTTCCTCCTCCTCCTCATCCTACCGCGCCCCCGTTCGCTGTCGACTCGCCGCGTCGCCTGTTCTGCTGTCTGCTGGCTCGTCCTCTTCGCCACCATCATCATCATCATCATCATGCTGATCTCCGCCAGCGCTGTCATCGTCATCATGAGCTGCGGCGGGCCGCTTGGCAGCGACAGGAAACGTGCCTCTGCCGCTGCCTCTGCCGCTGCCTCTGCCGCTGCTGCTGCCTCTGCCGCTGGCATTCGTGCCAGCGCCGCCAGCCCAGCTCGCCAGCGCAGGCTGGCGCATCTCCTTCTCATTCTCCTCATCGCCGTCACCCTCCTTGAACAGCTTGAGGTACCACTTCGGCGGTCGACTGACGGCCGCTCGTTTTCGATTGCAGTTTTTCACGTGGCCCGATCGTCGAGTGTCGATCGTCGATCTCGATCTCCACCTTCGATCTCCCTCAAAATCGTTTTCGGTTTCGTTGCCGTCGATCGTCGATCTCCCTCCTCCCCCCTCACTCCTTCTCTCCCCCCCCCTTTCTCCTTCCCCTCCTTCCTGAGTCGATCCGCAGATCAGCCCAAAAAGTCAGGGCTCCTGCGGAGCTTGATGCAGTGCGTCATCAGGCACCGAACCCTCTTGCCGTTCTCTGCCTTCCAGTCCTCCATCTCGTGCTCGGCGAGCGGAAACCTGGCTGCGCGGGCACGGGGGCGCTCGGGGGCGACGACGACGAGGGGGGGCGAAGGATCGGCGAGAGGGGGAGGAGGAGGAGGAGGAGGAGGAAGAGGAGGAGGAGGCTCGGGAGGAGGAAGAGGTCGAGGAGCAGGAAAGAAAGAAGGACGAGGAAGAGGAGAGAGGGCGGGGGGCATCGCCTCCTGTCATCCGCCACTTGCTCGATCGCCCTCTCGAGGGCCGTCGGCTGCAAGCTCAAGGTCGGAGCGATGGCTGCTATCGCTTTCCGCGCCCCCTTTGAAAAGAGCCCTAGCGAATGCAAGCGAGGTAGCTTCCCCTCTATCCTTCTCTCTCTCTCTCTCTCACTCTCCCCCTTTTGCTTTCTCTCTCTCTCTCTCTTTCTCGTTTTATCGTCTCTGTGGTATTCCTTTACCTCTCTCTCATTCTCTCTCTCTCTCTCTCTCTATCTCTCTTCCATCCTCCTTCTCCTCATCGTCTCGCCCTCCCCCTCCTCCTCCTCCCTCGCCTCTCTCGCTCTATCCCTCTCTCCCTCTCTCTCTCTCTCTCTCTCTTTCTCTCTCTCCCTCACGCTCTCTCTCTCTCTCTCTCTCTCTCTCCCTCTCTCTCTCTCTCTCTCTCTCTCTCTCTTTCTCTCTTTCTCTCTCCCTCTCTCCGGGGGCGCGGCTCCCGCGACAGCGTTTCGGTTGATGAGCGGCACGAGCGTTCTCATCAGCTCGGGCCTGGGTTTGTGCCGTCGAGCGTTGTTCGGGTAATTTATGAAATTGACCTTGCTGATGATCGGATGCATTGCGTTCCGAATGGCAGCTACGTCTGAAAAACGTGGATGGTCGGTCGCCTTCTGCTGTGGAGGCATACACGGAATATGAACTCGCACGCCCTGGGCCACAGGGCTGCGCAGCGGCGCGAGAGCACGAGCAGCAGAATGGGGAAAGAAGAAAAGTCGGGAGGGAGGGGGCGAGGGTGAGAAGGCCGGTGGGAGGATGCCCAGGAAGGGGCGGGCGGGCGGGGGGAGAGGGGGGTACAGTCGGGGCGCTGCTTTTTTCGTTGGGGAGGGGCTCGGTGTTCCTTGCTTGTTTTTAAAGTTTTCCTAAGGTGTTCCCTCGGTTTTCGTTGGGGAGTCGAAGTTTAACTTCTTGGGGAAAGGGGCCTCGTCCCTTATTTTTAGTTCCTTAGATCAACGCCCCGACGGTAGAGGGAAAGGGAGGGGGAGAGAGAGACCGTGAGACACGAACGAATCCGCACGTACATGTATGTGTAACAATATTTAACACGATATGTACACGTAAACATTCAATTGCGAACATGTGTGTGTTTACTATTATTGGTAGTATTGTCATTAATATTATTCACATATATATACACCTATTTACATATATATATGTGCATACCATAATTACATACAGTTGCATTCATATATTTTTATATATGTATATGCGTATATATACATATATATATATATATATGAAATTTAGTTATATATATATGTATACGTATAGTAGTGTACGTATGTGTTTTTATATGTATATATATATGTATACATAAATGTTTATATATATATACATATCTGTGTGTGTTTAACACGAAACAAACACAAACAACAATGCGCACGAAAAAATGAAAAGACGCAGCGGCCCAGCGAAAACACGCAATTATTATCATATACGTCCCGCCCACGATCAAGAGTCGCAACGACCCTGTGGGGAGCTTGCCGAAGGGCGCCGAGCTTGTCCAGCTGTTCGCCTGCGCCTGGCTGCTGTGGGAGGGCGGCGCGCGCCTCCCCGCGCTGGGCGCCACTCACGTGCATCGGCACTGCAGGGGGTCGGCCGTCAGCAACGGTGCGATCATCAAGGTGTCCTCCTACTCCTCCGCCTACTCCGAGGTCTTCGCGGGCGCTCTGGGGCTAGCATGGTACCGGGCCCTCCGCGATCGCTTCGGCGGGCGGGCTTCAGGAGCCTTCGTCGAGTTCGCGGACTCCGACTTCGCGCGCGGCGAGCGGGAGGCTTTCGAGGTGCCGGACGTCCTCGGGGCGATCACCAGCATGCGGGCTCCGGCTTCTGAGCAGGCATGCTCCATCGGGCGCGTGGCACGCGCCCCGGAGCGCGGCGCTGCAGCCTTCGACGCGGAGGTGGCGGACGGGCGCAAGCTGGAGGACGCCGACATCGCCATCAGGGAGGAGTACGCCGCGAAGGTGCGGGGCTGCGAGCCTGAGGCGGGGAGCGAGCCGTTCGAGCTGTCCAAGTCGCTTCGTGCCCACATCATCGGGGATCAGTGGAAGGATGAGGATCTCGGGCCTATCTGCATGCAGCTTCGCGCCGAGTCTGGCGCCGGCGATAGCCCCGAGGCGCAGCGTCTCGGCGAGGACTTCGCGCTCGAGCAGTTCGCGACCGTGGGCCCAGGGGAGCAGCGCTGGCTGCTAGTCCTCCCTGCGTCGGGCGGACCGGGCTCGGGCATATCGTGGAGGCGCTTCATCTTCCTCCGTGTTCATGCTGGTCCGTCGGGGGGCCACAAGACGGTGGTCGCCACTCGTGAGTGCGCCCGGCGGCTGGTGGTCTGGCCGGGGCTCGCGGCGGACATCGAGAAGTGGTGCGCTAGCTGTTGGGCCTGCCTCCGATTCAGGAAGCAGACTACGAAGGTTCAGGCCAGCTTCATCGTGGCACGGCACCGGCTTCCATTTCATCATGTGGTCATCGACGTGGAGGGCCGCATCACCCCCCCCGACGTCGACGGGTTCGCGTACGTGCTGACCTACATCTGTGTGACGACGGGGGCCCCCCTTCTCGAGCCGCTCAAGCACCTGCAGCACTCCGAGGTTCGTCGCGCCTTCTTTCGATGCGCGACTCGGGCCAAGACCTGGCCGATGCTGGTGAGTTCGGATCGTGGCAAGGAGTTCTGCAACGCTCTCATGGAAGAGCTCTGGGCGCTCCTCAACTTCGCAGGCCGCTTCGGCACGTCGTGGAGGCCCTGCGAGCAGGCGGACGCGGAGCGGTCCCACATCGAGTGCGCGAGGGAGATCGGCATCTTCCTGCACGACGTCTTTAAGTGTGCCCCCGGCCAGTGGGCCGAGCTGCTGCCGATCGTCGAGTTCGTGCTGTGGAACTCGCCCGGCAAGTCGGCGCTGTCGCCGAGGGACCTCTGCATGGGTTGGTCGTTGGCTTCGCCGCTGGAGAGGGAGCTGCTGCCGCTGGAGCCCGCCGTTCGCGAGGCAGTCTCCGACGTCGCGGCGGCACAGTTTGAGCAGTTCAGGCGTTTGCGGGAGGTTTACCTTCAGCATCGGGCTCGAGCCGGCCGGCGCAGGGCGGAGCTGGCTAATCGCACGAGATCGTCGAGGCGCCCGGAGGTCGGGGACATGGTGTTGTTCAAGGACCCGAAGCTCTCCAAGGCCGTGGCCGGGCACGCTCCGGGCCGCCGCCCTCTGCGCGGCCCCTTCGAGGTCCTCTCCACGAAGGGCAACGTCGCCACGTTGCGGGACCCCGAGACCCGGCAGGTGCTCAAGGATATCCACGGCGATTTCTTGATCGGCGTCCCGGGCTTGGTCGACGACACGGAGCGCATCGTGAAGTTGGAGGAGGACGACGGCCGTGGCAGGGCCTCTGCCGGACAGCTGCTGGCAGCGCGGCTGGCCCCTGGAGGCGGCGAGGCCGCCGAGGCGCTGGCGCCGCGCGTGAAGGCGCGGATGCGAGAAGTGAAGGTCGGGCGGCTCGTGGCCTACCAGGGCGAGGAGGCGAAGCGCTGCCGGGTGGGCAAGGTGCTGAGCCTGGCCGAGGACCTGAGCAGCGTGACGGTGCACGTGTACCAGGCGGCGGTCGACGGACGGCTGCAGGTGGTCTGGACAGCGGCGTACGACCGCCAGGAGGGCGCGGACTTCCAGCGGCAGAGGGTCGAGACGCTGGAGGCGAAGCGGGTGCTGGGTGTCGTGGAGCTCAACAAGGGCGTGCTGAACCACGCGGCGGCGAGCAGACTGGCGCGGGCCGGCTGGCGGCTGGACGAGGGGACCGTCCGGCGCGGTGCCTTGGCGGCGGCGGCAGTGGTGCCGGCCGCGCCACGGCTCTCCGACCTCCCTTCGAGCCGCGTCATCGCGCTCGTCGCAGCTTGCCGTCCGCTCGAGGAGCTCGACCTGAAGATCGGCGAGGTCCAGGCGTGGGCGCACGGCGTCCCCCTCTTCGTGGAGATCTTCGATGGGGTCGGGAGGCTCTCGCAGGCGGTCCAGAGCTTAGGCGCAGCCAACGCGGTGTGCAGCGTGGTGGCCGGCATCGACCTTAAGCGCAGGACGTACGGGCAGTACTGGGACCTCAGCAGGGCCAAGGACCGCGCCCGGCTTCGCTACCTGCTCTTCGAGGTGCTGAGGCCGGCAGGAGCCCACTGGGCGCTCCCCTGTGCGAAGTGGAGCAGCCTCGGTGGCCACCAGCCCGACGCCAACGCGCACGCGCTAGCTTCTTTCACCATGGACGGCCTCGAGCACCTCGACGGCGCGGGCTGCCTGGCCTCCTTCGAGGGCCCTCGTGCGCACGCGCTGGTGGCGAGCGTGGAGTGGCAGCAACGGTTCGGGTCAGCCGAGGCGCCGCGCGGGCGCTGGCGGCACGTGCTCCCCGACGGCTGCATGTTCCACTGCAGGAGCCCGGACGAGGAGCCCTTGGCCATGCAGAAGCCGTACGTCATCGTGGGCAACTTCCCGCTGGACCTGCTGGACGTTCAGTGCCGCCGTGGAGCGCTGCGGCCTCTAGGGCGCGGCCTCGAAGGCGTCGAGGTCGCCTCCGTGGAGCAGCGCGGCGACGCCGGGAGCTCCATGATCGGAGCCGCGCGAGCGCTGGAGGGGCCTCGCATGCCCTGCGAGCCGGGACGCGCGGCCGCTCCGGCTGCTGGGGTGACTAGGTCGGTGGACAAGCTGAGCGACGCCGAGATGGCGGAAAGGAAGGCGCGGCGCGAGCCAGCGGCGGCGGCGGCGAAGAAGAAGTGGGCCGAGCTGGCCAAGAAGGGTGACTGGGACCAGGTTCGGATGCCCGGCAAGTGCTTCAGGTTTGCCGAGGTGAAGATTTCGCCGAGGCGCTCGGCGGAGTACAAGGCCAAGGTTCTGGAGGCGGTCGGGCTCGTCGGCGAGTGCGCGGGCTACAAGCACCTGGGCAGCCAGGAGCTGGAGGCGCTGAAGGAGATGATCAGCCTGAAGGCCGAGGCGTTCTGGGTGAAGGGCACCGCGCGGACGGTCATGCGCGGCTTCAAGCACGACGTGGTGACGACTGGCTTGCCTGCGCGCGGGCCGCCGATCCGCTTGAAGGGCCCGGAGTCTTCCATCGTCCGCGAGGAGCTCGAGGCGGGCGTGGAGCAGGGGCTGTACTCCCGGGGGACTTCGCCCTGGGGCAGCTGGGCCTTTCCGACCAAGGAGCACGCGAGCGGCCGAAGGCGTCGGACCGTCGTGGACTACCGGATGGTCAACCGCAGGATGGTGATGTTCGTGTACTACATCCGCCGGTGCCGAGACGTCAAGGGCGAGCTGGTGGGCTGCGCCTTCATCTCTGGCATGGACGGCGCTCGCGGCTTCAACCTCCTGGTCAACACTGAGCACGCGAAGGAGGTCCTGGCTGTGCTGGCGGACTGCGGCTGCTACCTCCCCGAGGTGCTGCAGCTGGGGCCAGCGACGGGGCCCTTCGACTTCCAGTTCTGCACCGACGAGCTGTTCACTGGCACCGGCCGCGGGCGCTACGGATCGGTCTGGAAGAATTACATCGACGACTTTTGGGTCAGGACGGGGCAGTGGCTGAACGGTCGCGCCTACACCGACCGAGAGTACGAGGAGATGCTGGCGGCGGCATCCCCCCCCCCCGGCTGCCTCTCGCCCGCTGGGCGACTCGCTGGCAGCAGCCGGGTTCGCGGGGACCCGCAAGGCCAGCCAGAGCTACGACCACGCCAAGGGCGTGCTCGTGGGGCTGTGCGTGGCGCAGTCGGCCACGGGAGCGGCGGCTCTGGAGGGCGGCGGCGTTGCCTTGGCGAACGGCCTCCGCATGCTGGTGGTGGCTGCCGCGGTGCGCACGGCGTCCTTGGTGGATGAGGGGCTGCGCGCGGGCGTGCAGCTGACGCGGGACATCTTCGAGGCGGCCGGCGACCTGGTCCAGAGCGTCTCCTGGAACCTCAGCGGGCTCATCCACGAGGTGTGCGAGGGGGCGGTCCTGGTGGTGCGCGTCCTGGTCGTCGTGCAGTGCTGCTACGCTCTTTACTGCCTGCGCTCGTGGGTGGCTTGCCGTGCGCAGCGGGCGGCGCTGGAGCGCGCCGCCACCGCCGGCGAGGCGGCTCAGCGCGGACTCACGTCCAGCGCGCGAACCTGCGAGGCCGGCGACGGGCCCGCCTTCGGCCGCGAGCCGATGGCCAGAGCGGCAGCCGCTGGCAGGAGCCCGAGCGGGGCCATCTCGTCAGCAGATGGCGCCGCCAGCCCTGTGGTGGCGCTGTGGCGCGAGGCGGAGTTCGAGACCCCCCTGATCGGGGCGGCGGCACGCCCCCGAGCGGAGGTCCTCCAGATCCAGAGGAGCGCAGCTGTGGCACTGCGGGACCTGGAGCATTCGGACCGCCAGCGCACCGCGCGCGCGCGCGCGACCTGGCCGCCTGCGGCGCGGTGGTGTCCGCGAAGCTGGTGGAGGCTGCGCGCAGCACGGCGGCGAAGGACGCGGGCGACCTGTGCGAGTTCGAGGTTGAGGTGGCCGGCAGCCGCGGCGTGCGGTATGATGTGCGACTTCGCGCCGGACGCTTGGCTGCAGCGTTGCCCCCCGCATCGTGCACCTGCGCGGACTTCGTCAGCGGCGTTGGCGCCCCCTGCAAGCACATTGGGGCGGCCTGGTGCTGCGCGGTGGACGGCAACTTCAGCGAGCTGGTGGAGCTGGCGCTTGCGGCTGGCCGCAAGGAAGGAGCTGCCGCTGGACCTCAGCGACGCGCAGCCCTGGCGCCGAGCGACTCCCTGGGCCTCGCGGGGGCCGTGCGGGAGCTCCGCGACTCGGAGGCCGAGGTCGTTCGCCTGCGCGAGGAGGTCCAGCAGCTGAAGGCGCAGCTGGGGGTGGCCTCCAGGCGCGGAGCCGTGACCGAGTTCCTCTCAGCGTCGGAGACGCTGGCGGCTTGGGCGCGGGCTTGCGG